AAAGCAAGAGACCTGAGAACCAGAAAGGCGAGGCTCACCAAGCCATTTATCTCTCTGCCCTTCAATTACTCCCCATGTGTTTATCAGCCAGGTTGGCACAATAAACCCTAACTATCTCAAACAACTTTAAACATTTCTTTCAGATTTCCATATTTATAACCAAAGACAAAAGAGACTCTCTTTCACGTAAGATATCTTTGATGCCATTCCTCAACTTGCCTGTTTTTCAGTCATCAGAGTGCCATGTGCCAGATCTCTTCTTAAACTGGTCTATAAATTGAAGTGAATATAGCTGAGTCGTATTTGGGGTGTTCGAGAATGAAACCTTTATGGCGGGTGACTACCACATCTTTTGCCAGTGGAAGGCTGGGACAAACCAGCGTTTCACTTAGCCGCAGAGCTCTTAACCACAGCACCACTGAGCTTCTCTTTTGTGCAAAGCTCCAATTAATATTCTCTATTTAAAATGTTCATATCTTTCTCTTTAACCTTTCATCTTTAATCAGTTATTGATTACTTGCTTACTGCCTTTATTATACCAATTGAAATGTCACGAAGGCACACACATCTCACTATTTTTGTGAGGTGTCATCTAGCTGGTTCCACTTCAAAGTGACAGCAAGTCAAGTGCACAGCAAATGAAAACACTGATCTTGATTCCTTCTCAAAGATGTTGCTTTGTTTGAGCCCATTGTTGCAGACCCTGTGTCAGTCCATCTCTCACGGTGTCTGTCTTCCTCTTATTGCCTGGTCCTCCACCTTAGCATGCAAGATGTCTTCAGTAGCTATTGATCCCTTCTGATAACATATCAAAATACTGGATGCAAAATCCAACACAGCTTTGTTTGCTTTCCTGGAGGCCCATGGTATATTTAACATTCTTTGCCGATGCCCAAATTCAAACACATTAATATTTCAGTTGTCCTTATTCATTGTCCAGCTTTCCAATGCCTATAAGATCTTTGACAGTAACACCATGATGTGGCCAGACACAGCGCAGCTGATTTGTCCAGTGAAATATATGTCCTTTGATGTCCTGACTGCTGTTTCCATTGGTGTTGATTATGCATACAAGTAAAAAAAAAATCTTGATAATGTTAATATTTGTTATTTTTCATGATATTGCTTATTCCAGTCTTGGGGATTTTTGTTTTCTTCATTCTGAATTGTAATAGGTACTGAAGGCTATAGTCTTTGATTTCTTTCTTTTAGTCCTCTGTGGTTTCCATAAACAAAGATGTGTTGTCTGAATACCACAGGTTGTTAATGAGGTTTTCTTGAATCCTGGCATTGCATTCTTCTCTATATAATCCCATTTCTTGGATTATTTGTTTAGCATATAGCTGGAAAAACTACAGTGAAAGTCTACAGCCCTTACAAACACCTTTCCTGATTTTAAACCAGATAATCTCTCCTTATTCTGCTGGAATGAGTGTCTACTCTTTTATAAATAGGTTCTGCATACACAATTGAATGTTCTGAAATGCCAACTCATCACAATATTATCCACAGCTTGCTTTGATCCACATAGTTCAATGCCTTTTCATAGTCAATAAAAAAGGCAAACATCTCTCTGATATTCTCTACTCTCTT